CAAGACTTTGGCATGAAATACAGTTATTATGTGAAATTACTCAAAAGAAAACAATTAGCCAACATGAGACAAGCCTATTAAAAGAGGGCTGAAATTGTCACCCTGAGGCAGGGGACACTGTCGGTTGTCATGACAACAATATCACTAACCATTGTCTTCTTCAATATGACTCAACTTTTTCTTCATAAGCAGACGACAAGTAAACTCTGCTATGGAAGAAAAGAGACAAGAAAGGGAGACAAAGCTAAAATGAGCTATTCATCATTTTGATTGACTGCCTTATGGTGCCTTCCAGTGATATCCACAAGGAAATGAAATAAACCAATACTATCCTTAGTCTTTGACCTGGCAGTGAGCAGATCATATATTCAACAGAGATGAGCTGAGATTTTGTGACACGTCTGTTAATCATTTGATCTTAAAGAGATACTACCTCAGCTTAGAATGAACATTAAATTTAAATTCTCAAACTTGGCCAATAAGGGCATATAATATATTCTTCATCAGAGGAAATAATCTTGTGTCATTCATAACTATACAACAGAATATATGACAATGAAAACAATTAATTATCAATCAATAATTACATAGTTTTATGGATAATTACTGGATTATGCAGAGATTCTTTTGTATATTTATGGCACTGGGTAGGTCCAAAGATGAATATATATTCTTCTTGGCCATGTTTGAAAATCTAAATGTAATGTTCATTCTAAGAGGAATATTTCTTTGAGACAAAAGTGTGGCACACAGATCAAATGACTCCCTTGACAAATATAACAAACTGTCAAATCTATCAAACTCTCATTTCTTCATAATAAACATTGTCATCTACAATGAAAATATCCTCAATTTAGATTGATCTTTTCATGAACAAAATTTGAATAAATTTTGCTTTATATTTTAAAAATATTTACAGTTTACAATTGCTTGCTATGCTACAAGTACAACATGCTTTGACACTATGTTTTAACATGAAATATGTTAAGAAAGGAAACTAACCATACAGACAGTCAAGATTAAATGATAAATTGGATAAATTCTCAAAAGGATTATACCTAAGGTTTTGACATAACATACAAGAACATAAAGACACAATATTTCCCTAGTCTAGCTATGAATTTTCAACTTAATTTGAACTCAATATATCAAGTTTGTGATGAAATGAAAGGAAAAGGGAAATGTCTTTTAATGCATTTGATATTGGCACAATTTATTTCTGTTATTTAACATCTTGCCAACAAACATCCATCTTTAAATACTAACAGACCAATCTGGTTATTCTAGTAATATCTTTACTTTTTTTATAACAATTTTTATTTGAATGCGAATAGGTCCTTATATATTAGGCAATTATTACCACATGATGCGGTAAGAGAAGAGATTTGACAAGTACCAGCATGGAAGAGGCTTTTTCAAAACCATTTTAAGCAGGCTATTTTCACAACACAACACATTTCAATAAAAAAGAATAAGCCTCATCAACAATAAAAAAAATATCATGTCACCGTTAACATGTATAATTGACTTTTGTTGTCAAAAAGGACAGGTCTGACATTTATTTAAAAATTACTTTCTCACTTTTCCAGCAAACTGCGAATTCAATGAAATAAATAAATCGTTGAACTTCAATATTTAAAATTTAATCATTTACTCATCATCAAACTCTTTATTTTTTAGATTTTCTGATAAAACTGCAGATCTACATGCTCTATGGGTGCGACTTGCAATCCATCATGTGGCGAAATTTTTATGCAACACACGTGTTCCATCTTCACAATGTCAAGCTATTATCTTGACTGCAACAGCAACCTTTCTTGAATCACAGAAGTTTGTAAATGCAGCTAATACAACCAATATAGGAACGAGAAAATTAGGCTCTTTCAGTCAAGGGTTTATTGGCTGTACTTGCTAGGTAAGGCTACGACTTTTTGTAAATGTTTCAACGATAATTTTGGCTGAACAGTTTTAAGGCATCTATAATCAACCTGCTCGTGTTTTTACATACAACCATGTTACCAAACTATAAGCAGGATTTACAAACTTCTGTGTTGTAAACGTATTAAGACGCCGTTTGAAAAAGCTTAACACTGACATGTTCAAGGTCATCCAAACTACCATTCGTTCCGCCAGCTTCGATGAATTATATTTAAGATAATCTTACACTGAATATCACATCATTTCCACAAGAGTTAAAAATGGAAACAAAATGTGAAAGGTGGTAGACTGATTAATTTTTACATTGCATGTCTACAAAATATTGAGATTAAAAACTAAAAACAAGTTTCTTGCAATCTCAATTCTAATTAAGAAATGTCTGAGTTTCTACTAATCCTATAATATAACAGATGTAAGCTATACCATGAGCTCAAACTCAGGCTAAACATGAACGATTTTTGTCTTGAGTAAAATCTAACATGTGCCTGAGCTTTCACAATAAGATTATATTTGAGATAAGAATTTATATTATCAAACCAGTTTGATTTTGGTCAGAGTTTTTTTTATCCGCGATCGTTTTCTTTGTGTGCAGGTATTCATGACAAGACAAGACTCCACAAAGCTTCATCAATTCAATGACATGGTCATCTAATAAATACAGAAAATTATGGCCTTAATGAGATTGCACAAGGCCAATGATAGCATTAATAGAATTTATGATGAAAGATTTTACCTGAAGGGGTTGACATGGAAAAAATATTTAGTTGGGTATAATAAACCAAAGCCCTATGTGCTACATGTTTCTGTGACAGAAATGAAAAAAAGAAGAGACTATGTATTCTCCTATTCTTTACATTGGGCAATCGAAAATGTAGATAAACATTTGATTGACATTCAACTAGCAGTATGTCAGTCATCATTATTCCTAAACCAATCAAATTACAGTCTAAGCATGTCAATTCAATTATTGTTTAGAACCTATTGTCATTTTACGTGACTTGAAAACACAGACCTGATTTAGCACACTGTTGACATTCAACTTGCTTTAATTCTCCTACAAGATAACAATAACAAACCAGATCATGACACAAGTTTTGTATTTAAACCACAACATTCTATGATCTCTTTGGTTGCATTTCTTCAATCATTTGAAGGAACTTATTCACTAATAATGCTTTTATGATTGTAATCATATATTCAATGGGAATATAGGTCTTTTTATCTAAGCAAATCGTATCAACTTGCTTTGATGGCAAAGTATCAACACAAGCTACCAATCAACTCTTCAAATGCCATAACTCTTCAATTGCCATAAATAAATGACCATTTGCGTATGCTGAATTAACATGGCATCTCTCATTGTTAAAATATTTCATTTCATTGAAATGTTCTTATTTGCTACCACTGTTGCCCACCATTTTGAATCTCAGAAGAAATGTACCAGAATTTGGTTGAGTTGAGTACACACTTAGGCAAATTGCAAAAATAAATATGCATTGTAGGCAAATCTCTATTGGTACTTAGCTTATATAAATGAGAGTTGCTTAAATAAAAAATGGCTTATGTCAAAAGTCTCCTATCTAAATAATAAAGTATTTGTGTTTTGGTTTCATCAATAAGAGCTAGCTATCTATCAAATCAAAAGGAATGTTCAAAGAACTTTTTGTCTTATTTAATTACTTTGAAATAGATCAAATTACAATAAAATGTTAATCACATTAAAGACATATATAGAAATAAACAGTTTGAAGAGATTATGTCATTTTTGGTTAGCAAATACCAGTACTATTTACATATTTTCAACCCCTGAACCATGGCTTTAAACAACAGGATTAATAAATATACAAAATAATTCAAAATATTAAAAATCTTTATATATAGCGAAATATGGCAAAATTTATATGTCCACCCTAGCTCTTCTAGCTGGATAGCTTTTGTGATTTAAGGGGTTTTTATGACCACAATGAAAATATTAATTAAAATAATGACACTATATTTCATTGACAACATGGTTTTGAAACTAAGAAGCAAAGACTAATTTGTTAACCTTTTCCTACCAGCCATGACAAAAGATATTATCATTATTTATATGCATTGTAACATTACACAAAGCACTGCAATATATCTTTCTTAAGGCTTGAAACTAATGGTTTGAAAGAAATTTGGCAGTTGGATAGCATTATATTGATATGATACATCATTAACATACAAATCTCCTGTTTTGAAGTCAATATTATACAATACCATTCCAAATGATTAATGAAAATCCTGCGACATGAAGCGCCAAAATGAGACACATTTAATTGCCCAAGACTTCCAGAATACATGCAATCAGTTTCCAGAACAAATACAGCTAATTCAATCGTCTAATCTAAATGTCCCCCTAATAACCATTAATTATATTCACCCTAATTCCTATTGTCACTCAAAAAAGCATTCAAGAATTAAAAATGGTGCCAGTGAATTTTTCAATGGGTTAATTTCAGCATTTTGAAGACTTAAGATATTATCCATATCAATGTAATGTGGAAGAAACAGGGCATCATTTGTCTTCCTTCACATCTGATTATTACATTTTGACTGAAATTGTCCTGGGAATACTAAAACTATCTCACTCTAATTGCTGGCATCGAATTTCAAAATGTCCTCATTTTTGTCAGAGCATTGGGAAATATTAAGTAATCATTTGAAAAACATCCAGCTTTATTTCAAACCTAAAATCTTGAATCAAGAAATTCCCATGTTCGAAATTGACAAACAAACATGCTGAAATTAAACTGAGTTTAATTTGAAAATCAAAGGTACAGAATCGCCATTTTCAGCGGTTGATTTGGATCTTGAATATATAAAAATAGTCTTCAGAAGCAAGAAATGTATGCAAAAACGCATAATTCCTTCAAATATACCTCAAACTTTCACTTTCTATTTCTAAAAAATGTCTTTTCTATATAAGGCAGAGACTCCAGTAAAGATGATTTGTATATTTTTACTTTCAAATGCAGACAATTCTGAACACACATGGATTTGAAGGCTCAATATTTGACGGTGATCTATGAACACAATTAGCTGTTTCTGAGACTAAGATTGGTCGGATGGATGGCAATCTGTCCCTATAAAAAAAATGTTTTAAGGAAAAAACAAAAAAGAATGGACCATTTTCCTGATATGGAATTTGCAATTTATTTTTTTCAAATTACACGATGTCATTTCATCAGACCATGTCTTCTGTCAAAAATTCAAAACAAGGAATGTAAAACTTTTGTGCCTGATATTGCCTTGTTCCCTTGTCAATTCTTAACATTAGCAATTGAAGTCATAGTTGGCAACTTGACACACAGCCTGTCTGATTTACAGGATCAACCCAACACGCTGCCAGCTAGTCTTATGGGATCAGTGCTGAATGAATTGCACAACAAGTTCATTGTCAGAGACATCAAGGTCGCGTTCTAACTTTTTTACCACCTGAACCCAGACACATGTTAAACAAAGACGTTTGTCGGGCGTCACTAAACATGTATGAATCACTAACCCTTTAACCATTGCCCAACTTGCTTAATAATCTCATTAATGTATTATAGGCCATTTCAAATTATTTTCAAAACTTTGAATGATGTTAAACTAAAATAATAAATAGTATTTATATATAAGTTTTAGAATATAATTCTCATTAATTTTCTTCTAAAAACAATCGAGAAGTTAAATTCTTCTTAATAAGCCTATTATATTCTATTCTATTAAATTCTTCTTAATCTTTTAAGAGGTAACATTTTTTTACTAATTTAAAATTCAACTATTATCTTCGCATCAAATTTTCAAATTTTGACCAACTATTTGAGTGCATGCAAACTGATACAAAAGGTTGATATTCGGACAAACTATGTGTCCCATAAATATGAATAAAATCGAAAACCATTTTTGCTTGCCTTTAAACTATTTCAGTTTTGGCCTTATATTCTACTCAACTCTAGCCTGTCTCATGTGACATTATTCTCCCCAAGACAATTAATTTCTTTTTGACTGATTATGTGAACTGATGAAAAAATATGAGGCTTGTTTTCCCTTTTTAATTATGGATAAAAATCAGACGAAATCACATGCTCTGACTAAATTAAAATTTCTCATTTTGAATGAAAATTTTCTGCTTGTATTATCTCAGCTTTAAGGTTTGATTAGATCCCTTTTTCTGCTTCTTTATGTTGTCATCATTGATGCTTCCGAATGACACAACAAGAGAACAAAGAATTCACAACGTCAACAAATAATACCAAGATTCTTAGGAAGTGTGTCAGATGTCTTTTAAAACACAAAAGATTTCAAGCAACCATATGACAATTTTAGAGAACCCTTGAATAATTCTTTTGATTTTATACCCATTACTACATTAGTAACCCATCTCTACAAAACCAATCATACAAATTTCCATACAGCTAGCTGGTAGAAAGGATCTCACTTTAAAGATAAAGTTGTGGGAATCAATACAGGAATTGGTAAGAAATTGCCCATATTCAGCAAAACTATATCCTCTACCTATAACTCCTTTAAAAATTGTTGGAAAAACTTGCTTATGATGTGAATTTATGAAATAAGTTAAGGTCATGTCTCAAAGCCCTTTATCACTATTTCTAAAACCTCTACCAATATGGTTATCATCATATTTAAAATTTCCTTAATTCAATTGTGTCCACCTGCAATTCATAGTTTTATGGATTAATTCAACAAGTTTGCAGAAAGCTGTCTGAAATTATTGATAATGTTAGTTTTGAAAGGGTAAGAAATTCATACAAAATCACAAACTAGAACTCCATGCACCATCAGTTTACTAAAAAGAATTTCCAACCTCATACAGGATGGAAAAATCATAGATATACTCCTAGAATTTTCTCTTTAAGTTTAGGGATTTCCCCTAAAAGATTTTTTCTGATTGAATCTCAAGATGGTAAATTAAAATTCAGTTGTTAAAGTGAATATCCAATATAGTCTTGCTCTTACCTTCAATATTTCAACCTTTACAGGACCAACAAATCTGAAAAATATAAACAAATCAATTAACAGACCATATTTAAGTTTTTCTAAAGCCAAGAACTTGTGTCAACCAGCTTAACCTATGGACACACTGGGCGAATTTACACAGCAAAGGTTTGGACAAGTCGATTGCGAGCGAACTTCGCCTTGTCTATTGTGAACTTTGAACTTTCCCATTATTCAAATAATCACAGATTCCTGAATAATGACAAATAAAAGGGCGACTTCCAGTAATGCCCACATTGAAATGTGGACGTATATATATTGCCATCCCCCTTGCTGTCCGTCCCTCCTTCCACATTTCTTGTAGGCACAATAGAGGCTACAGCTTTTATCTGATCTTGATGAAACTTGGTATGCATGTATATATTGATGAGATCTGTCAAATTCAATAATAATCAGATGAACCATTTCAGACTTATTGCCCTTGACTTAGTAAAATTTGGCTTGTATGCACGGTAAAGGGTTCATTTTTTTCTGATTTTGATGAAACTTAGTATGCTTGTATTGATGAGATCTCGGTCAAGTTTGGACTTGGTAATAATTGGATGAACAGTTTCAGAGTTATTGCCCTTGACTTTGTAAAAACGCGTAAAATTTGGCTTGTATGCATGATAAAGACTCCAATTTTCATCCAATCTTGATGAAACTTAGTATGCATGTATATATTGATGAGATTTGAAATTGGTAATAAATGGATGAATAATCAGATTTATTGGCTTGGCTTGTAGGCACGATATGGACTACAATTTGTATCCGATCTTGATGACGCATGATAAGATCCTTGACTTAATCAAAATGTGTCAAATTTGGCTTGTAGGCACGATAGAGGGTGCAGTTTTTATCTGAACTTGGTATGCATGTACATATGGACAAGATCGCAGTCAAGTTGATATTAATTGGATGAATGGTTTTAGAGTTATTGCCCTTGACTTAATACAATGCGACAAAATTTGGCTTGTAGGCAAGATAGAGACTACAGTTTTTATCTGATCTTGATGAAATTTGATATGCATGTAGATACTGATGAGATTTCAGTCAAGTTTGAAATAGGTTATAAGCTCATGAATGATTTATTGCATGTTTTAATTTGATGATAATTAAATGAACTGTTTTTGAGGTTTATCTTGACTTATAAATATTTTCAAGATTATTTGAAAATTCATTATTTAGCCACTTTATAAAGACTTAGTTATCATTTCTGACAGCTTGTAGTGGGTGTATGTTATCTTGCCTGGAATGCTGTCTATCAACGCAGACATTCGCCCAGTCTGTCATTAGCTTTAGGATCAGTGGTGGCTGCATGAGGTCCAAAATTAAAGAAAAGAATTTCGGAAAATACGCAGTTTTTAATTTTGAAAATGTAATAATATCAAAACAATACTCTTTCAAGTTTCTTAAAATGGTAAATTTCATTTAATATTAAAATTCTTGCCTGACCCCTGATATATTCAAAAATAATTTGGTGGTGGCCTCTCCCAATCATTAGTTCTGAATTATCTAACAAACAAGGAACAAAACAAAAATTTGAAGTTTCAAAGCAGTTCAAGTTTATTGAAATAAACATTCTAATCAAATGTGAAAGATTACAAATAAGTTGGAAATATACATAGGTTAATACTGCTCTTTTGTATGTTGAAAAATTTTTCATTTTTAAACGCCAAAAATATTTCTAAAAATTATGTGAGGTTTTTAAGTTTGTTGTGCTTTTTGGAAGCTGTATGTCTCCTACATTTTCTTAAGGTTTTAGCTAGTTATATATGTCAGCCATCCGGGTATAGTACATATATTTGACATGGATTTTTATGAAAACCATATACATCTGGTTTATGGTATTGTGTAATAAACGTACTTGGAATAGAGAAGATATAACAATATAGTGAGACTTGTGAATACGACAATCCTCCCCAACTTGAATAAAGAGTGTGAGCAATCTTTAAGTACATCGAAACATAAACTAAACTTCACTACTTATGAATTTAACTTATTTCACTTCATATAAAAATCACTATTAGAGTATATGATACTTGCTGAAAATAAACTAAAAGAGTTATTACAAACATCACTATTAAACATTAGACAATCACTTGTAATATAATATATAACTGTCAAAATACACTACTTAATATAAAACATTTACAGTTCATCAATGAAATATCTTGGAGGTCTTCTGTTTCTCATTGGATACCTACTTTGAGCTATTTGTGGTTCAGGTAGATTATCAGGAGGGTGTATCATCGGATTAGGATTATCATTATTGAATTCTATACCTTCTTCATAAGAAATAGAAACATTGTTCGGAATTATTTTGAAATATGAACTATTACGAGTAATACAATGTTCGTGTCTCTTAGCCATGATCATACTACCTTTCACTGCAATAACTGTATAAGGTTTTGGATTATAGGCAGTAGAAAAAATATTTTTCTTTGTCTGGCGAATTAAAACTTTATCACCTAGAGATAGTTTGTGATGTTTTACAGAGCGTTTTTCACAGCTTTGTTTTTATCACTTGATAACATGATTTGAGGTAGTTTTGTCCTAATAGGTCTCTGAAACATTAATTCAGCAGGAGTATGATTAGTTGTAGGATGCAGAGTAGCATCTTAATTACGTAAGAATGTATAGATTTCGGGGAAGGGAGGGTTTGATTCTCCCAAATGTACAGGCCTAGGGTGGAGCAGACACTTTATTTAGAAATTAGGATTAAGGGTCTTGATATTGGGTTTTCTTCTGTTCTTATTCTGTTCTGAAATTAGAAAAAATAACACATGGGGGAATTTCTCTTGAAGGCTCTTATAGTGGGCATGAACTATCTTGCTTGCTCGATTGCTGGTTGTATTAAACGGGACAACAAAGGGTGCTATGCCTACATTATGATGAATATTTAGTCCTATAGGTCTTGCTGTATTCAATGTCTCAATCCAATGGGCCTCCCTAGATTGACGGAATTTGGTAGTTTCATCTTCGGGCAAGTCAATTTCTATACGCTCAATTGGGATTAGGGTGAGATCGTCTATTGAATGGTCGTCGAGGTTGAAATGATTAGAAACAGGCTTGTCTTTCTTTAATTTTGATGTCTGACCTATGAGCATTAAAGCGAGTTCGTAAATTATTCTTAGTTTCTCCTACATATTGTTTGGGGCATTTCTTGCATGAAATTAAATATATTATATTCGAATGTTCACATGTTAGATGTTCCTGGATCGGGTACCTTTTATTCGTAGAGTTGCTTACAAAATAATGAGTTTCTGATATAAAGGGACATGTTTTGCATCTACTGGACAAACATGGAGCACTTCTTAAACCTGGAGGTACTTCGGCATAAAGTCTGTTTTTAGCTGCTATCTGTGCTAAGGTGGAATTTTTTATGTTTCGTAAAAATCGTTTAGAGTGAGAAAACTTGGTTGAAATCAGAAGATCTTGTACAAATTCGATGAAATCGTAAAACTTGTGACTTAATTATACAAGAAAAGGTATGTTTTGGGTGAAAAGAGCTCTTGTGCAAGAGTTGATGAGTATCAGTTTCTTTGAAATACATTTTAATATCCAGTTTATTTGTTTCTGCTATGGAATCTCCCTTAAAGACTGTGGTATCGAGAAAGTCTATGCTTTTGTCACTCACGTTTGCGGTTAGTTTGATAGAAGGATGGTGGTTGTTGAGAATTTCAAAGAATTCCCAAAACTGTTCATAAGTCAATTTCTTATTGACTTAAGTCAATAAGTCCAAACCATAAAAATGTCATCCAAAAAGCGTCCGTAAAAAAGTGAGTCAAATGGACAGATGGGCAACACCTCACGTTCCCACTCTGCCATGAAAAGGTTTGCGTACGAAGGGGCGAATCGTTTGCCCATTGCTGTCCCTGAAGTTTGTAAATATGTTTTACCATTAAATGTGAAATCGTTTCGATTAAGACAAATCTCTAATAGCTGTAGAATTGCATCGTCGGGTCTGTTTGGATCTGGGTTTCTATTAAAAGCTTTACGAACTGCCGTTAAACCAGTAGTGTTATCGATATTAGTATACATAGAAGAAACGTCGATAGAAATTAAAATAGCATTAGAGGGAACACGAAGATTTTTTATTTTATTGACAAAATCGGTTGTGTCTTTAAGGTAGGCGCGATGTTGACATGTTAGAGGTAGTAAGAAATGATCAATGTATTCTGACACTGCATATGACTCACTACCACAGTCAGATATAATCGGGCTGCCTTTAGGGATTTTATTCGAGATAAACCACTCCTTGGTTGGATTCTTATGGATTTTAGGCAAAGTGTACAAATGTCTCTCGCGACAATCAGGTTTGGCAGACAGATAGTCATATTGTTTCTGTTTGAGATAACTAGTTTTGACTAAATCGGCAAGAATATTATTAATCATGTTAGCAGTTTCTTTGAAAATTGGTTTCGGTAAAATGGCATAATGTTTAGGATTATTCAGTTGATTCTCTGCTTCTGAAACGTAATCCTCCCTATTCAGAATGACACAACATGAACCTTTGTCACTCTTTTTAATAACAATGCTATCGTCTTTCTTAAGTAAGTTTAACGCTTCACGTTCCATTCGTGTGAGATTAGGCTTTTCGTGTGTTATGGAAAGGTTCACAGTTTGGCTATTCATACTCGCAAATGCTTTCAATATTTCAGGATGGATAGCGGCCTGAGGGGGTGTCCACGTGGATTTAGGAATAAACATTGTTCTAGCACCACGTGGGGGGTGGTTTCGAAAAAAATATGTGCAGCTAACATTTCGTTGAAATCGTTCAATGGATGGTCAGAGATAATTCAAGTTAGCTATCTTTGGTGTGGGAATAAATTTAAGTCCACGGTCTAAGATTGAATGCTGAAGGGATGTGAGAATTTTGCGGCTCAAGTTAATTACAGTTTGGCCTAGCGGTGGCCTCTCAGTATTTTTATCCCCAGTAATTAGTTTAAAGACTTACTCGATACTTGAAGCTGGTGTATCCAAAACAAATAAATGCTGTTTGCTGTTTCTGGAGACCAATGAAGATTATCAACTGGTTCAAATTCTTCGTAGGGTGGTAAGATTGTTGCGCTGTTGATACTGGACTCCATCATCATGTTGTTGAGAGTGCTGAGGTTCTGTTGTGCTTTCTTCGAGATTTTATTTGATATGGGTATACATGTGAAGAGGATCTTGGAGTTTGGGAAGGTTTTGTTGGCTGTGGCGATTAATTTCTGGGCTTGGTTAATGATTCCAGGATTGACTGTACGTGATGGGTTTGGGCACTGGGGTAAGAATGTATTTCAGTGTCTGAACTGGTTTTGGTAATTCGATTCAGGTTAGATGATCCAATAATTAAGGTAGATTTCTTTAGAGTGGGTAGCTTCCATAATGATTTCTCCCCTGGTTTGGTGATAATACGGTTTGGTAGCGGATATAATGGTCGTCGACGGTGTGATTGGTACTGGTTTGGTAGTTGTTAGAATTGTAGCATTGGGAACGGACTGGGATCTGGTTCGAGGGGGGGAAGGTCTGGATACACGTCTCGACTTGGATGGAGACTGAGGGGTGGTTTGCTGGTCCAAAAACGCACAGAAGGAAGAAAGGTTGGCGGATCCTGGATCACGTGGTGAAGATTCAGATGGTGTGGAAGTGGAAGGCGAGTCTGAAAGTGAAAAGAGAAGGGGAGTGCCCTCTCTACGAGAGCGTTTACCTGT